GGACTTGGAACAGCGTCTTGTGTGGCTGAGAAGGCCAATTCAAGAGTGGCGATCCCTTCCACAATGAAGACAAATTCAATCTGTCCCGTCCAGCTCCTTGATTTTGTTGCTTTTGTGACTGCCTCTTGGCCTCAGCCTGCTGGACAAGGGTCTCTTCAAATTGGGAGAGGCCGTGATGCACTGCCTGCCTCCAGGCTGAACACTCCAATGTCAGGGTCTCCCATCTGTTGCGGTCCATTCCTGAGGCCTTCAGATCCCGCTTGCAGATATCCTTGTATCGCAGCTGTGGTCTCGCTCTGGGACGATTTCCCTGCACTAATTCTCCATCCAGGAGATCTTTTAGAATCCGACCATCAGCCATTCTCACAACATGCCCAAACCAACATAGACATCGTTGTTTCAGTAATGTATACATACAAAAAATTCCAGCTCGATCTAGAACTACTCTATTTGGAACTTTGTTCTGCCAGGTGATACCAAAAATGCGTCAGAGATAACACATATGAAACGTGTTCAGCTTCCTCTCCTGCCATGCACAAAGGGTCCAGGACTCACTGCAGTACAGGAGTGTGCTCAGGACACAGGCTGTATAGACCTGGATCTTGGTGTATGCCGTCAGCATCTTATTGAGCCTCTTCTTCAGCTTCCTCTTCAGCTTATTCCTGAAGAGGAAGTTGAGGCAGGAGGGAGCTGTGTTTGGGGGACATTTTATTTGGTGAGGGCTTTTCTGCTAGGCTGAACTTTGTACTCCCCGACTTCATGGTCTGAGGGGGTGGGGTTTTGGCTTTAAATAAGTGCCAGCAGAAGCTCAAAGCCCCTTTCCTGAAGAGGAAGCTGTGGCAGGCGGGAGCTGTGCTTGGGGGACAAATTGTCTGGTTCTATTTTTTACTTTAATCTGCTAAATAGGAAAGCCAAATAGCATTGCATACACCTGGGGGCTGGAATGTTTTAGGAGTAGGATCATACTTCCGTGCTATTAGGGAGCAGGCCTGGTAGGTGGGGCTTGTCAGCCTTGGAAGACGGCCCATCTAGGAGAAGGAAAACTCAAATTTCAAACCTCCACTGCCTTGTGGCTATATCCACTGATGGAAAAGGCTTCAGGAGATAACCTCGAGGCCAAATCCGGAGCCGGAATCCTGGAGGCAGTTCATGTCGTTCTGGCAACTCCTGCGATGTTGCTGGAACCAGTTGTATTGGCTCTTGCCTTTCCATTGGACTATTTCAGTGATGTGGAGAGGGGAGATTTGCTGCTCGGGTAACAACCTATGCTCCATATTATTTTACCCAGGCTTTGTGCTCTGGAGAGGACAATCCAGCTTCTCATACAGTGTCGAAATATCACGGGAAGTAGCAGTTACTGGTTAAAAGTCTTTGCTCGATTGGCGTAGTGCCCTGGTTGTCTTCCTCGCCCTGGTTGTCTTGTTTGAGGAAAGGTCTTCAAGCCTTTTCTTGAAGGCTTGAAATAAAACTAAAATATGCACTTTAAAAATGGATTGGCACATATGATAAAAATTGAACATGATCTGGTGAATATTATAAAGGTACACCAGCTCTGATCAACAGTCAAGAGCAGAGCTTGGTGGTGATGGTGGTAGTGGTGGGGAACACTTTTTAGACTACAACCTCCAGAATCCTCCAATGATTCTGGAAGTTGTGGTGTAAGTAACTTTTAAAACCTGTGGGCAACACACACGTGTGTGGCCATGCATTCTCCCTCTTTAAAGCTCTTCCAGACGTGTGACTAGATATTGAAGTGATCTCAGGCAGGACTGGACTGAAACAAGATTGCTTGAAAGTGTGCTTTGCCATTGAGAACAAAGTTTTGCATCTGGATGCAAGGATTGGGTGGTTTTAGGGCAGGATACCGCACTACACTTCAGTGCCACCCTATTTACCCTGTTGTCGGCTCTCAGCCTCCATGCCCTCACACATTCTCATCTCTCCCTCTCTGTGAGCAGTAGAGGAAAACTAGATTTTATTTTATTATTCGTTGTCAAGTACAATTTGGCTTCCCACCAAAGTGAAACTGTGCTGGACTATAAAGAAAAAGGAAAAAGATTCCCCCTCCGCCTCCTTTCTCCTTTTTATGGGGTGGAGTCTGAGCTCGATTTTTGTTTTTCATTTATTGGTAAGTGACGTATAGCTTTGGTTTGCCACCAAAGTGAGACAGCACTGGATTGTAAAGAAAGACAAACGCAATGGGAAAATATCATTCTCTACATCTTCTCATGTCATCCCCTGTGCAGGGAGCAAGGGAAAAAAGGAAGAGACAGAGAGAAAAAATTCAGCGCTATGTCACTTGGATAGCAAGCCCATGAATTAATATGTCACTTATGGGCTTGCTAGCCAAGTGACATAGCACTGAGTTGTTGCGGGGTAACACTGCTGCTCTGGTTCGATACTGGCAATCACATATGCTGAAAACCAAAATAAAACAGAGATCCTTCACCTGCTTAAAAAAAAACTCTTACCAGTGACCCAAAAAGATGTGACAGGCATGGGTAAAAGTAATGGCTATCACAACTTTTGGGGTTCACAATTGTTTGTAGACCATGGAGTTGCCTCTCTTTAAAAAAAAAATCTCAAAGAGGCCCCAAACAGAACTAAAAGCACTGTCTTATCGCACTCTGCATTTCCTGAAGAATCATTCCCAATGCACCATTAAATCATTTGCTGGCTTTCATTATATCACATTATAATCACACTATCCTCTGTGAGATCATATCTGATCCCACACTCACTAACATATACAAGTGGGCCTTCTTGTCAGTGTGCCATGTGCTGGGTCTCCCCCTTTTATATGTTTGGAGATTTATCAGACTTGTGATATGGCAGTGAAATACCGGTTCAGCTCAAAGAGGTGGGACTGAGAAAGAGCAGGGCTGTTAGTAAGAGAACTGAATCAGAAAGAGGAGGAGAGCTAAAGAAGCTTGGACTGCTAAGGCCCTTCCCAACTTGGTGTAGGTATAATACCTATATGTTTGTGTTGGAAGGGTGAATCCACATACTAATCCACTTAATAAATCCATAATAAATCCATTAGGGGTTAAGGTTCCATGGGAGTTTTTGTGGGAAGACAGTGTTTGTTTTTTGTTTTTTTACTAGACAGATGGCGTTTTTAGTGCTCTCAACAGCACCCTCCAAGTTTGGTTTGCATGTGAGTAGCAGCTGGGGGGAAATCACCACATTGCAGATTCTGATGCATAATTTCACACCTATGACTGGCAATTGGTTGAAGATATTTTATTCAGTTCAAGGTTTATTCAGGTTGGAAATAGAGGGTATTTCGCCAACTTTAAGAAAGCTAGTCAATATGTTGTTTTTTGTCTTTGATCTAGGATATACAGTACAAATATATAACTGTGATAGTATAGAAAAAAATTTCTGTGGGGTAATTCTTCTGTGGAGCAACAACAGCCTGCACAAATATTTAGATCAAGGCTAATACAAATGTCTTCTCGTTCAGCCATAGTTCTGCTGTCCAGTTACCTGAAAGAACTGTCAGATAAGAAGAGTGTTAATTCAAACTCATCGGAGTTTCTGTCCCACATATGCTAAAGGGATTATAGTGGTGCCTCGCAAGACAAGAGCTTCGTTTAACGAAGAAATCGCATAAGAAGTTTTTGCGATCGCAAAAGCAATCGCAAAACGATGTTTCCTATGAGTTTTTTTCACTTTGTGATGATCGGTTACCTGCTTCGCTAACCGATTATCGCAAAACGAAGATTTTCGCACAGCTGATCGGCGGTTTCAAAATAGCCGCCGGGTTAAAAAAATGGCTGCCTACTGTTTTCTGGGACGGATTCCTCGCTGCACGGGCAGCGAAAATCGCCACGCTATGGAGGATCTTCGCTGGACGGTGAGTTTCAAGCCCATAGGAACGCATTAATCGGGTTTTAATGCGTTTCTATGGGCTTTTAAAAATCGCTTTATGATGTTTTCGTTCTAATTTCGCTGGAACGAATTAAAATCGTAATGCGAGGCACCACTGTATTTTATTATTTAGCTCACTTATGATCCTAACCTTCTTTGGAATCCAAGCCAGCATATGATTTATTTATTGAAATGTATTTATTTGCAATATTTTTATCCTGCCTTTCTCCTTAAAAAGGACCCCAGGTGGCTTTGGGTTAGTTCCCCCATCCTGAGAAGATCCCCATTTAAATGGTAGAATTCACTGGCCAAAAGAACTAGTAATGGCTCCCAAGATGGGATGGCTTCAAAAGGAGATTGGATCAATTTATGGAGGTTAGAGCCATCAGGGACTATTCAGGATAAGTCCCCAGAGATTCTTGGACTAAATCTCCCAGAAGCCTTCACCACTAGCTGGGGTATCCAGGATTTCTCAGAATTGCAGTCCAGGAACATTTGTGGACCCAAGATTGGGAACCACTGATACATCATCATTTGTATCTGAGGCAGGTACCTCTGTACAGTGATTACTAGGGAAGGTGAAAGAGAGAGTCCATTGCATTCATGTCATGCTGACAAGCTTCTGGGGGAGAACTGGCTGGCTTCTGTGTCAACAGAACGGTAGACTTTATCTGTAGCTTTTGATCCAAACGAGTCAAGCCCTCTATATGTTCTGCCATTCTGTCACTCTGTAAACTCTCACCTACCTTCGTTTCCCTTACGTGGTTCGTGAGGAACTGCTCTGTGATGTCCCATGGCTTGGAGGGTTAGCTGATGTACTCCTGGCCTGCCGGATGGCGACTTCTGCATGGATGCTCCGAGGATTGCATACACCCACTGCTGCGGTTTTTGATTTCTTACCTGGAAGTCAAAGGGGAAAATGCAAATTCTCCAAATTCAGTCTGCTTTTTAATTTTTTTTAGATGAAGGAAAAGCAGAGAAAAGTGTGAAAAGTATAAACAGATTATAAAGATTCAGGCTCTTTACTTTTTTGCCATCATCATCATCATCATCATCATCATCATCATCATCATCATCATCATCATCATCATCATCATCATCATTCTTTAAAAATTCAAAACCCAGTCTTTGACTGGTATTATATAACAAATACTGGTATATCATACCACAGAGTGGTATGATATACCAGATGGGAGGACGATCAGTACCGATTAAATTTCAATGTAATATGTAATGCTGTTCCTAATATTGCTGGGTTTTGCAGCTCAGATGGTATTATTTCAAAGATCTGCAGCAGCTGGTTATAATATTTTATAAAATTCCATGGCATTGTTCCCAATGTCCTGATGACTACGGCGACCACTGAAATGTGTTTCTTCAACCAGCAAGTTATTTCTATTGCCAGGTCTCTTTATTTTGTTAATTTTTCCAATTCTTTATCTTCAACTCTGGCATTCCCTGGAATTGCAATTTCAATTATCCAGACATTTCTTTGTTCCATTACTGTTATGCCTGATGTGTTATGTTCTATCTATCAGTTTGAATCCAGAAATCCCACCAGATCTTGACGTCTTCATTTTCTGACACCTTCGCTACCTGATGTTCCAGCGCATTCTTGGATGTTGGCAAATCATCATCATCATTATCCATCAAGTTGATTCGGACTTATGGTACCCCTCCCAGGGCTTCCTAGATACGTTTTTAGAAGTTGGTTTCCTCCTCCTTCTCGTGGCACTCTGGGATCAAAGACCACAGAGGCATTAGGGCAAGGAACCACCTCAGCTTCACATGGTCTAAGTAATTTCAGCTGGCCCCTCTTCCAGAAGGCATAGTGGGGGTTTGAATTCCTGGGCCCTGGTTCCAGGCACGCAAAGAAACTGAGCTATACCAGCACCATAAATTACATTATATGAAATAGATGCTCACATCCACATGCCACGTCAGCATGTTTCAAAAAATTAATGTGTTACATTTTCAACAATACTGAAGGTTGCATACGTATAGGATGAACAGCTGCCACGCCAATGATAAAACAGCATATACTGTCATATAGAGTGCTACAACACAATGGGGAAAATGCAAAAGGTTTCACTGTGAATTTGCACCCAGAACGTTTATCTTGGCTGAAGTGAATTCACTTAAGTCAACCACACAGGAGTCAGCAGGAATTGGGGAGGTAATCAGACTCGTTTGCAACTTGTTAACACTTCCCTGCCCTGATGCCAGGGTCTGCTTGTTTGTCTCCTCCCTTCCAGTTTCATTTCTTTTCTTTTAAAGGCTTGATCTCCTGGCACTAGTACAGCTATGGGACTAACGAGAAAAAACTAACAAACGAGGAATTGGTGGAGAAACAGGAGGAAGTTTTCAGCCCAGCCTTGTTTCCAGCTTGTTAAATTAGCTGGCCATCCAGATTTGGAGGAGGCACTTGGAGCACAGTTACTTTCAGACTTCCTCTCCTCTTTCTGCCGAGATTTCTCACTCTTTTTTAAAACTTTGGTTGCCTAGCGGTCCTAGATTGCCTAGCGGCCCTACTGCTAGATTAGCAAGACCTAAAAAAGAAAAAAGGAAAAGAAAGAGGAAAGCAGATCCAGGCACCAGGTGTAGGGAGAAGAGAGCTCAAATGGCATTCAGTTTCCCTGCTGCTGTACCCAGCTGGAATGCTGGATAGCTCGGTGGTTTAGAAGTCAGGGGTTCGATTCCCCACTGTGCTTCTTGACAGGGCTGGACTCAATCATAGAGTCCCTTTCAGTTCTGAGATGGCTGTTGTTGTTGTTACTTTGAATTGCGATGGCTGCAAACTCCTCCGCATCGCCTCGATTGATCACACTGGCTTGATGTGAATATAATTTATTCCAAAAAAGTAGAAGCCCCAGAAATGGAGGAAAAACTACAGAATGGGAGGAAAATTCTAGCCTGATTTGCTTTGACTTTTACATCATGTAACCAATCAAAAAAATAATGTGAAAAGCCTAAGATTAATTTGGAAACAGAATATGTATTATAAATTAGTTACACCAGAAACTTATGTATCTTTGAAATGTAATAGATAAGAATAAATATCGTAAAATGCTGATTTACAACCCTTATTCAATCCCCTGTCCCTATACCTAACCTATAAAATAAAATAAATATCCGAATCAGGCAATCCCAGTTCCAGAGCATTATGGACATTATTTGTCAACGAGTCACTCCCTCCATTTGCGTAGGTGCTTCGGCCACACATAGACAAAAAATGAGGATCATGAATATTGATGGATGACAAATTTCATTTCTGTTCATTTTCAATAATAATGATAAAAACAAACAAACCCCAAACTGCAAAAGTCTTCATTTTCAGGATGGAAAAAGCTTGAGATCTTAAAAGTCTGAATACACGAGGAACCAGATTTATCTATACAGATCCAGAGCTTTGAGTGCTTATGTCTTCAGCACTGCTGGTGATGAATAAGGGCTGCTTTTTCTTTTTATCTAAGAGGTTTGTCATGTTCAAAAGCCATAAAGCATGAAGGAATAATGCAATCTTCTCCATGATGGGAACAACTGAATCTGGCTATCACAATGAGGGAGGCATTTCACTGCAGTTCGTTCTTTTAAGTACTTACCAAAGCTCATAAAACTTCATATTTTGTTTAGAAGGAATCTGAGGTTTTTGAGGAATTGAATGCGGGAGAAATAAAAATTTACATTTTTTTCCCAGATGAGGAACTATTAGTTTTCAAATACCATAGAATAATCCAACCTACTAGCTGGCAGAATTCTGGAAGTTTGTAGTCACACACAGTCTGTAGCCACAAAGTTTGTAGCCACACACAGTCATCTGTAGTCAAGTTCTTCATTTCCTCAATCCTACTCACAGATCTGCGAACATGTATGTGCCAACACCGCCCAAAAGTTAGACTCCTTGTTGAGATGTTTGAATCACCTCACGGTTCACCATCTGAGATTGTCTGCTCTCCATAGGTGCCCACAAAGCAGATTTTTGAGGCTATCCAACTGCATCGGACTTGGATTATTGATTTGATTTGATTTATATACCACTCCAAAAGTGACAGCAGTACTCTGGGCTGTTAAAACTTAAAACCCCACAAGATCCTTCATAACAGTGTACATTTGAACAATACAGTAGGGCTCCTGTATCTGTAGGGGATCGGTTCCAAACCCACCCACCCCCATTGGATGGTGAAAAAACGCAGGTTATAGTGAACACGATTTAAATAGTGAACTCGATACATAGCACTGTCTCTGGCCCTCTCTAGTGGCCAGTTCTGGTAACTTCATCTTTAGAAATATATTTCTAGGATTCTTCTTTTAATGTTTTAAATATTTTCAGACTGTGGTTAAGTGAATCAGTGGAGACTGACCCTGAGGATAATAAGCGAGTCTTGCTGTACAGTGATAGACAACTGTAAAGTCAAAAATTCATACAAAAAGCAAAGAGAGAAAAGATTACAGCATTCTGAAGATTCTATTGTTCAAGGCAGCTTTGCATAATTCTGTTTTTACCAATTTCTTACACATAATGGGGGAAGGAGCTTGAAGTATCTTAGTTGGTAAGTTTTCCAAAGACCAGGAGCCACCACTGAAAAGGCCCGATTCCTTATCATCAACTTTTTTGGCTCCCCTTGGTGTATGGCTACTTTTAACAACCCAGATAAGGGTAAGCCACTTTCCTATTTAGGGTGAAATCAAGAACATAACAGTAGATTGACACTCACTTTTGTTACTCTCACTCCCAAACAGTTCATCAGCAGTGTAAGGAAAGGCAAAATCGGGACTGTTTAAATGGCTGACACCACTCATCAGGCTAATGTTGGCGACACTGGCAATCCTCGTGGTGCATTGTTTAGGGAGGGTTGCTTGCAGCCCTGGAAAGGAAATCCACAGTCGATTGGTGAGTTTGCAGGAAGAAAGATCTACAGGAGGAGATAAGAGATAAATAAGCTCAGGCTCACCTTTCAGTTTCTGAACTGCCAAAAAAAAAAACCCACAAAGAAAAAGAAAGCTACTTACCTAATTAGTGATGTGCTCTCACACCAGAATTGACTTACAGTGATCCTAATAGGGTTTTCAAGCTAAGTGAGATATTTAATGAATGGTTTTACCAGTACCATTCCCCCAGTGAGTGTCCATGGCCAAGTGGGGATTTGAACTCTGGGTCTCCAGAGTAGGGCCGCTAATTACAATTTCCATCAGATGCAAGAATTCATTGTTAAAAACTGAGGACAAATAATGTTGTCTTGTTGCTCGTCGCTGTAAAAAACGTAGTTCCCAGCAGGGACTCCCATTATGTTTTGTGAAATGTTGTGAAAGGTAGCTCATGGCCAGTGTACAGAAGAGGGGCAGGATCTTTTCTTGATCATCCCAGAGTGCAGGACATGCAACCATGGGCTCAAGTTACAGGAAGTCAGATTCTGGCTGAAGATCAGGAAAAACTTCCTAATTGTTAGAGTAGTATGGTAATGGAACCTATGAGCTCCAGAGGTGGTGAGCACTCCAACACTGGAGGCATTCAAAAACGTAGGACAATCACCTGGCAAATATCCTTCAATTTGTATTCCTATATTGAGCAGGGGTTGGATATGAAGGCTTTATAGATCCCTTCCAATCATAGAATCATGATTCTATGACTCTAAAACAAAACACTTCATGCAGAGAGGGGCTGGGCTCCACACAGTTCACATGAGATGGGTGCAGAAATAAACACATCTACTTCCTTGTAAATCAAGGTGCAGGTCACCTTATTTCTGAAGACATCTGAGAGTCTGCAACCTTTTAAAGCAGCTTCTGTGCAAACAGATGGACATGATTGTCCATGGGACAAGAGGGCCCTCTGTTTGTGGTGAAGGTTTGGCCCTTTGCCCTTTCAGTTTCCACCAGTGCAGGTCTTTCAAGGCAAGTAAAAACACCCTTCATGCAAACCTTTCCCTTAAGTGATTCTGGTTGAGCACGTGGAATTATTTTCTGCACCTCAGTTCCTCAAGTTTAGGCAGCATCTTTTAAAACAAGGATGTCAGTTTATCTGCACAGTGCTTGGGCCCTGGGTTTCATGCTCTCTTTTTCAGTAGCTGGGTTAAGAACGGTTCTGTTCTTCTTTCTAACAACCATCTAATTATCCTTTTCAGTCTGAAATCCCTCTTTGAAGCAGGTTCTGCCCATACTCAGTAAGAACAATGGAAACACACTAAATTGACTCAAGATATTCCACTGCCTGAGACAAAAGAAGATGGCGCCCCACCCAACAGTCTACATCTTTAGCTTTAGCAACTAGACCATATCCTCTCATCACCCCTGAAGGCAGCAGGATGCAGGGCCAGATGTATGGTAAAGAGATCTTTGCTTTACAATCCACTGGAGCTCAATGTCTCCTTTTGCTTCATGGTAGAGCTGGCTGTAAAAAAATACAAGAGGATGCAAAAAATGAGGGAAAGATCTTACCCATGCTTGTACATTTACAGCAGCATATTTGTAGGCCTAAATAGGACATGAGCATGTCCTCAGAAAGCACTTTTTTTGTTGTTTAGTCGTGTCCGACTCTTTGTGACCCCATGGACCAGAGCACACCAGGCCCTCCTGTCTTCCACTGCCTCCCGGAGTTGGGTCAAATTCATGCTGTTCGCTTTGATGACACTGTCCAGCCATCTCGTCCTCTGTCATTCCCTTCTCCTCTTGCCTTCACTCATTCCCAACATCAGGGTCTTTTCCAGGGAGTCTTCTCTTCTCATGAGATGGCCAAGGTATTGGAGCCTGAGTTTCAGGATCTGTCCTTCCAGTGAACACTCAGGGTTGATTTCCTTCGGAATGGATAGGTTTGTTCTCCTGCAGTCCTGGGGACTCTCAAGAGTCTCCTCCAGCACCACAATTCAAAAGCAGCAATTCTTTGGCAGTCAACCTTCTTTATGGTCCAGCTCTCACTTCCATACATCGCTACTGGAAAAACCATAGCTTTGACTATGCGGACCTTTGTTGGGAAGGTGAGGTCTCTGCCTTTTTAGATGCTTTCTAGGTTTGCCATCAGAAAGCATAGAAGCATAGACTAATTGAGTTAGAAGGGGCCTATAAGGCTATTCCTCCTGCTGCACAATCCAGGAATCTGAATCAAAGCAGATCTGACAGTTATAAGACTATTCCACCTCCTGCACAATCCAAGAATCTGAATCAAAGCAGATCCGACAGACAGTTGTCCAGTCATGGGAACACTCACCACCTTCTAAGGTCATTGGATCCATTGTCGTACTGCTCTAACTGTTAAGAAGTTTTATTCCTGCTATTCAACGGAAATCTGGCTCCCTGTAACTTGAGCCCATTACTGTGTGCCCTGCACTCTGGGGTAAGCAAGAACAGATCTTATCTCTCCTATGTAAGACAGCTTTTCAAGTATTTACTAGTGCCTCTCTAGTCAGCATGCTCTCGCTGACAACATGGATTGCGTCTCCATCTTATCAAGAAAGCCTGTAACAAACATTTGTGTAATCCACAGAGCAGTGAATTTGACATCGAAAGAAGCTGGGATTCAGGGGGTTGCCTTCACAATTCATAAAATGAATTGTCTCTGGTGACAGATTTTTCAGAAATCACTGTTTAGAAAGGGACGAGTTAACGACTTATTTAGTATAATTTTAATTTTTCCCCAATGGAGGGGTTTAATAGATTGGTTTTCATCCTAGTGTTCCTAAGCATCTCTGAGTCATCGCTGATGGCACTGCTAGAAAAGAAGGTGCTAATTAAGTTACTTTCTTCTGTGTCAAATTTCTTGTGCATTTAACACCAAATGCATTTTTTTTTTAAAAAGGAACCACGTCAGACCTCACTTCTTAACTTCCTAACAAGCACTTAGAGAAGAACAACGCAGATGTCACTAAGAAAACTGGGAGGGAAATCATTTGCTGTTCCACTTCGGTGGCTTAATGAGATAATGCCTCAATTCTGTTCTGGTTAACGAGATGGAACGTTTCCACTGAAGCCTTCTGAGGAACAGGAGATCCCTCTAAAGAGCAGGGAGTCTTTGCACTCTTTCCCCAGCAGTGCTAATATTGCCATGTTTTTTATTTTTAAGTGATGTCCAACGTACAAAAGCACAGGTCAGTTTGGAAATAAAGCAGTTACAACACACAGCAATCCAATCCACAACCACTTAGAAGTCTTGTATACAAAGCGAAGGGGCAAAAACATGTTTCTTTTTGTGGGGCAACCCACCAGGGAGTTGGCGCTAGAAATGCCCAGGCTGCCTCCGTCACTATAAACACGGTACAGACTTTGCCTGGTGTCCATTTGTGAAATCTTGGGATCAGGTAAGAAATGAACGGGGTTCTGATGAAAGCCAAAAAGTGGGTGGAGGGCTTAAGCTGAGAGATGCCTCCAAATGTTAGAATGCTGTGGAAATGAGACATGCATTTCTTACAATATTAGAACCATGTTCTTAGAGCTTGGGAGAGTTCCTTTCTTTGTGGAGTTCAGGTTTCATAATGTGAGCAGCCAGGCAGCCTGGAGAATCCCAAGAGCTTTAAAAAAAACCCTTCCAAACTTTGGACCAGATTATATAAGCGTACGTGTGCCTTTTCCCAGTTATTTGAAACAACAAAATATTCTGAGCTGGGTTGACCCTAATTCTGGTCTGGAAATATAAACCTATAACCCATATCCTTAACGCAAATATCACAGATTTGCACTCTCATTTTATTACTTTGCATATACAGTGGTGCCTCGCTTAACGGCGATAATCTGTTCCAGGAAAATCACCATTAAGCGAAAACATCGTAAAGCGGGGGGAAAAAAACCATTGAAACACAATGAAACCTCTTCAATGCGTTCCAATGGGGTCAAAACTCACCGTCCAGCAAAGATCCTCCATAGGGCAGCCGTTTTCGCTGCCTGTCTTGCGAGGAATTCATCCCAGAAAACAGCGGGGAGCCATTTTGTTTACCCGGTGGCCATTTTGAAACCACCAATCAGCCTTTTTAAAATTGTCGTTTTGTGAAGAATCGGTTCCTGAAGCAGGGAACTGATCATCGCAAAGTGAAAAAAACCCATTTAGACCATCGTTTTGTGATCGCAATTGCGATTACAAAAATCATCGTAATGCGGTTTCGTCATAATGCGGGGCAATCATAAACCGAGGCACCACCGTATCATCCAGCTTCTCTTAAGTACTACAGAGAGCTAGTTGCTACTTAAGTAAGGATCCTTCCTCCCTGATTACTCAAAATTCTGGTCAGACATATCTGGCTACTGAGATTTGTGCACTGTCTCTGAAGACATCAAGACTAGCAACCTGCCTCATTGGGGGGGAGGCCTTTTTTAAGATCCATCCACCCTCACAGGTGCATTTGGTGGGGACATAGGACGGGGCCTTCTCTGTTGCTGCTCCCAGACTATGGAACTCCCTCCCACAAGAAGCTAGGCTGGCCCCATCGTTGCTGTCCTTCCACAAGCAGGCAAAGACCTTTCTCTTCTTAAGAAGAAGGTAAAGGTAAAGGTTCCCCTTGACAATTTTTGTCCAGTCGTGTTCGACTCTAGGGGGCGGTGCTCATCCCCGTTTCCAAGTCATAGAGGCAGCGTTTAGTCCGAAGACAATCTTCCGTGGTCACATGGCCAGTGCGACTTAGACACGGAATGCTGTTACCTTCCCACCGAGGTGGTCCCTATTAATCTACT